GAGTCGTATGTGTCTTGATTTCATGTTAGTTTTGTTTTGAGTCATGTTGTCATTTGAGTCTTGGTGTCAAGTGAGCAATTTCAAGCCTTGGTGTCTCTTGATACAACACCTTCAGAACAAAGCTAACTCATTGGGAGATGAGTTGTCAAGAAGGGGAGTCTGATGTAGACAAGGGGGGATGTCAAATCAAACCCAAAAATATTTGGTTTTGACTTCCCTTGAGCGTGCTAGCTCATTAATTTTTGAGCTAAGATTTAGCTCATTATGAGTTGGTTTTTAGTTCATTTATTGAACTAAGAGTTTGCTCATTATGAGCTATGTTTTTAGTTCACTTATTAATTTATTAATAGCTCATTTATTTTGTCTCTTCTCCTTCCCCTTGTCTATTCGTTTCCAGTTGATGGCTCTTGGGTTCCCGTGCCTTGGCTCCTTGGTTCCCACGGCTGCCTCTTGGTTTCCTGCGCTGGGAAGAATGAGAAATGGTTAGTGCTCCAAATAATTCTGTTATTCCTTTTCGACCAAATGTAATACACAGTTAATTCACTAAAATGTGTCTATGGTTAACTAATTGTCTGGCTCCAGGAATGGTCGAAGCCATACCTAAAGGATGTTCGCATCTCGAGTAGTTGTAGTAAAACCTGGCCTGTTGACCCTTTGGCTTTTCCAGCAATATGCACATATTTAAGTAATTGTTGCTCTGTCAGACCATAATGAAAACGCAATTTCTGTTTCTCTTCTAAACGAATACGATATTGTGATCTTTTTCCAGAGCGCAATTGGGTTTGAAGATCACTTCTGGATCTGGGTCTTTTACTAGTTAGTCCCGGTAAAGCCCCCAGCCGGCGTATTTTTTTGAAACGAGGTCCTCGGTAACGAGACATATAAAGGCTCCTTTTTGATTCACTTTTCTTTGACAAAAAGATATAAATTCAGACTGAACTAAAGGATTAGCAAAGCAAAACGAAATTTACTAAAGTCCTACAAAACAGAATCAAATAAATCTTATCAATATTCGGATTTTTTGTATATATAGGAAATTTAGGAAATTCAAGCGAAGGTTACGTTTTCCAATTTTTTCTGTAGAGATCTAATTGTTCTAGTCAACTTTTTTATTCATAGCTATGGCTGCAAGTTACCATGACATAATAGATTGGTGACCCGACATTTAGCGAAAGCGAGAGTAGAGATTTTCAATCATGGAAAGAAAAAAATCGATAAAGAAAAAGAGCCGGCTATCGGAATCGAACCGATGACCATCGCATTACAAATGCGATGCTTTGCATGAATAAGGAATTTCCTTTCATTAGCAGTTGAACTCTCCAATGTAATTGAACTCTCCAAGAATAAGCCATGGTTTGTTCACATTTTATTAAAGATCATAAATGTTTTGCCATAGCAGTTTCCTTTCCTTAGTACTATTATCAACATAAATGAAAATGATTTGAAATTTGATGGCATTGTGGAAAATTAGATACTCAGGTATAATTGTGGTTTGATGTTGAGCATAGTGAAGTATATTATGGATGAGTTCAATTTTATCTAAATTTTGCCATTTAGGGTTGTTTGAAATTATTGCAGCTTTCTTCTTCATAGAAGATATTCAAACTTTTCTTAGTGAAGGGATCCCAGCAGTATCTAGGTTCAATTTTGTTTCAATTAGACAAAGTAGGTCAATGTGAAGGTCATTGACTAACTTTCTACATTTAGTGATGTGAGTATCATCATTAAGCACCCAACTATTTCATATTATAATATTAGTGAAATACATTATTTATTGAGAGATGAGGTTGGGGCACTCTCCTTTTGTTTGATTTTTCTATTTTGGGGACATTTGTTTGGAGAATTTGTTGGGGATATTCCATCTTGTTATGGGGAAAAGAGGATGAATTTCCATATTCATTGAGGAAACTTGATTGAGATAAAAGTGGCTTGTCAGTAGAGTAGCAGCAGCAGAAATATTCTGTGAGGTAGGGTTTGTGCCAGTGGTTCATTTGATTTTTTGTCACATTTGGATACAGGGAATGCTGATCTGGAGTTGCTTGTGGAGGTAGGTTCTGGAATGTTGAGGTCATGATTTATTGGATTTGTGTTATGAGTTGTGTTTTCTAGGTTTGGGACTTCAGGGGTCGTAGTAGAAGTAGATTTTGGAAGGAGATAACATGATGGTGGTTTTCACCTCTTCGTGCTTGTGATTTAGATATATTTCTATTATGTCCCCAAAGAGTGGGGGCGGTAAAGTTCATTTTTAGTGGTTTTAACGGAGCTGTATGAGGGTTGGGGATTTAGGGAAGCTAGTTTTATCATGTGCTAAGGTATCATATGAGGGGCTGGTAGTTGGTTTACCCTCATACAGGACATATAGGGTTTTCAGACCAACAGTATAGGGGTAAGTTAGGGTATTTTTTAAAGTCCTCTTTGATAGGAGTAAAATCTAATGTCCATTTTTTAGCTATAAATTATCTATCATAGATGAACCATCGCCTCCTAAAGGTCTTTGGCCTATAGCATAACCCACCAGCACAAGGGTCCAATGTTTGGCACCTCTATCGTCTTCCTCATTCAAAAAAATGATTTTCTCCTTAGAAGAAACAATACTTGAGTGAGAATTGCTCTATTTGCAGCACATAAAAGGCACGAGCCATTAAGCCCTACAAAAAATGAGAAAAGATTGAAGGGAAGAAAATGCAGAGAAGAGGGGGTGAGGGGTGGGGGCGCAAACCCTAGCGGGACTAGCTTCCGCATGATAGGAAAAAATATCTTTTTCCGAATCTCTTTTTCTTGTTTATATATAATCACATTGATGATTGTTCTAATAATATAAATTGAATAAAGTTTTTGTCCTTTTTAATTATCTCATTTCTAATATGATATCCGAGTTATGAATGAGTCACCTGATTATTTAAAATTAACATCCACTTAAAAATTGACTCATCTTTTTTTTATTCTTAGTTTGATCTCCATTTACAGTTTTTTATCTATGTTATTAACTATTAAGGCATGTGATCTCCATTTCTCATAGATTTATAAGCGCCTATGATTTCCTATGTTCTCTAGTAAAGACTATGATAGTGACTTTTGTCCTCTTGATGTTTGCCTTTTTGTTGACACACTCTATCAATTCCCTTTATCTGCTCTCTCATTGGACCTATATTGTTGCTCTTATGGATTCTTCTATTTAAGAATGTTATCTACGCCTCCTTTAAAATTGATCTCATTTCCGACTCATTCCATCCAATTCACACTAATATCTCTTTCATGAATCGGTCACACTTCTCATGTGACACTTGTGATTTAGTGAATTTTTTTTACTATATCTCTATTCTACTATTTTCAAATTCAAATTCACATCTATGCACCTTGAGTTTGCAGGGAAGTTACGATATTTAAATCATAACATTTGTTAATTATTTACAATTTAATCAAATTTTCATCCTTTAGTGACCTGAACCTTATGTTGAAACCCACTTCTAGTCATTTTAATATGATCTTAGCTTTGATATCAATTTGTTGTTTGATGTTTAGGAGCTAGAGTTCACTAATTTTTACCTAGAATGAGATGCATAAAGAAACACAAAAGATTCCAATTCCTAGTTTCCCAACTTTAATTGTGGCAAATTATAGTTTCTTTTGATACAAAATCATAAAACTCTTAAATTGCTTGGAATGACAATCTTAATGCAACGAAAATATGAAATTTCATGAAATATTTGAGAACAAATCTAAAATTTCAAAATGATTAATATAAATATCACATATGAAAATTGGTATGTAACAAACTTGATATTATCTCACTTATGCACACAAATAACTCAAAATAATTTAGATGAAAGAGAAAAAATATAAATCACCATCTGAAGATCTAGGCCTCACTTTGATACAAGGAAAAGTATTCTCACAAGTTATTTTCGATGATTATGAAATGATCTAAGTTTCACATCTAGAAGCGCACACATGCATTGACATAAAATTAAAAATTTATTCAATTATTTTTGTATATTTCATGCGGTAAGGGTCCTATTAAGTTTCAATTATTACTTTCAGATGCAGGTCCAAAACAACCAACGTATATTTTTTATCTAAAAATTAGTTTTTAGGAGGGAAACTGACAGTGCCATAGAAGGAAAAGTTGAAGAACGAAAGACTTGAAACTCCACTTACAGTCCAAGCTAAATTAGGCAACGTCGCATATGAAAGTTATCCAGCAGCAATTGGCTGTAGTACAATAGTAGAACTTGAAGTCCTCTTGCGATCCATGCTACCCAAGGAAAATAATGACTGATGGCAACTGGTCCCTTTACAAAAGGAAAGATACAGTGTCACAACCATAGCATTGACTGATGGCAACTGGTCCCTTTACAAAAGGAAAGATACAGTGTCACAACCATAGCATGATGGGAAATGTAACCTCTATTGTATTTGGTGAGAGTTGAATTGAATGACTGGCAACAATAAATGGAATCTAGCATGATAATCAAAATACTGGAGAACACCTGTTGTTATGAACATAAACATCATAGACAACTTAAATTGAAATAATGAACCTTAGAGAAAAGAAAACTAAGATAACTCGAACTGAACAAAACCATAATGTTGTGTTCATCTCAATGCTCACGTCTTGTGCTTCCAAGGAGTATATACTTTCAAATTTTCCTCACTTTATTTTTTATTCTAAGGTTGATGCATTGAGGTATGGTTAAAATATCTTGAAAGTCTCTATTAGGTATCATGTTGCAAAGGAGTAGATTCTCTGTTTGGATTTTTACCATATCTTCATTGTAATTGATATCCTTTGGGGATGAATTATATTTAGACGGCAAGAAAGAGTTTATATTGACCTATTATCATGTTTTAGAATATTGATGTTTACCAGTGTTTGGTGGGATAGATAATCTTATGAAAACATGTTTATTTTAATTAACTAATGTTTTATTCACTGTTTATTATTACAAATGCTCCCCATTCCCTCTTATGCTATTTGATCTAGTTTAAGTTCTTGGCAGGATACCCATCCTCAACTAGTTATTGCTTCTAATGCTGGCATTACTGCATATCCTAGCTGGTTGCCATCCATTGTACGTTTCTTTCTTCGAAACTATGCTTTAGAAATATTTTATAAATTGCTGTTCGTTCATCATCTCAACTGTAAAGCATGATTCTTGCAAAGGACAGTATAGTTGAAGTGTTTCTAAATTGATCCTGGTGCTAATCTCTTAACATTATGACACAAGTGCATAATAAGAGGATAGGAAATGGTGTAAGATTTTTTTTTTTTAATGATCTTGGTGCTTCAATTTGTTTCATCTTACTGTATATAGCTTACCTCTTAATTTTTACTTGTCCTTGCTGTGGACAATAAATTCCTCTGATTCATGGTTCCCTTCCAATAGACAGCAGATAGTTTTCTGTATTTCTCTCGAAAGCAGCACCTTGTTTTCTGGTTGCGAGTCACAGCCAGCCCTGGAATAATTTCAGCTTAAGCTGAAAAATGCAGCAGACGTGGCCAGCGGTGTTGACAGAAGCTGGAGGATATGGCGAGGCTACTTGCAGCAGGTCTTCCGGTGGCCAAGGCAAGGTAGGCTAGCAGGTTTGAGTATTGGGTTGGCCGGTGGCCAAGGGAGAGGGAGATGATTTGGGTGAAGTTGGATTCAATTTTATTGTGGGAAAACTTTATAATTATGGCGAAGTACAGCATAATAAGATAGGCAAGCTTCTTTTATCTAAACTAGCACCACAATATATGCAATCTTTCCCTGAATTTAAAAAATAAACTTATCTAAATGCAACTTCATGTTAATCATATTTGAAACAATTCAAATTTGATCCTAACTTGGTTGGCTCATCAGATAGGACTCCTTGTACTGTTTGGAAAGGGTATTTGATAGGAAAAACTTGAGTTCCCAAAGTAATCCTAGAGAAAATACTTGAGTTCGCAAGAAACCCTAGCAATAATTGATAAAATTAGTGAGAAAACATACAAGAACGTGATGAAATCAACCCAAAATTTGTGGATTGTATTAGGGAAATCCAAAACAAAACAAACACAAAGCAAAGATACAATTGATCATCAATTCGAGAGGAGGATTGTTCTCTCCCAATCTCTAGAAGAAGTTCTAGAGCACAAGACACCAAGAGAAAAAACTCTAAACAACCCAATAATCATGCATAACCTTAACCCTCAACAAGCCATACTATTAATACATTAGTTCCCTAATTAAACATCCCAAATTCAATTTTTTCCTCTCACCCTAGCTGCCCAATCCTCTCTCCTTAAATTGCTCCTAGTGGGACCCACTAGTGTGGGTGGCAAGCTCCAAAGGAGGCGGAACCTGTTAGCCTCCTGTAGACTTGAAAGGTTGGCTGGGCCGGTTTAGGATGAACCGGCCTAACAATACCACCCTCTCAAAGAATCACCTTGTCCTCAAGGTGAAAACTAGGAAACTGCTATTTCACCCTCTCGTATGGTTCCGATGTGACATCATAGTCAGGCAGTTCTTCCACTTGATTAGCACTTTCTTAGCTCCATCTTCTTTCTGGCGAACCCCCGTCAACTCTATGGGTTCTAGAATCACCTCAAAATCCTCAGCAAGTGTTGCAGGTAACTCCGAGCTGGCTATATAATGTCCAATGGCTCTTCTCAAATGAGATACATGGAAAACTGGATGTCCTTCCGATGCCCCTCAGCTTGTTTCATCATAATTTGTTGAGTTCTCAGTAGATTTTTCTTCAACTCCTCTAATACTCTATCTTTCTCCCCTAAGTACTCCACTGAATAAATTAGAGTACTTCTATTCCCAAAAGGGCACCAAGTGAGGAGGATCCCTTTCGTACAACACCTTGAATGAGGGCATCTGAGAAGCCGAATGAAAAGAGGTATTGTACCAGTACTCAGCCCATAATAGTCACTTGGCCCATAGCTTGGGTGTCTCCGACACAAAACATCTCAGATAAGTCTCCAAGCTCTTGTTGACTACTTTCGTTTGGCCATCTGTCAGTGGGTAGTCAGCAGTGCTCCTCTTTAGAACTGTCCCCTATAACCTGAACAACTCCCTCCAAAAGTGGCTGAGGAACACCTTATCTCTATCTGATACTATTGCCTCTGGTACCCCATACAATCTGACCACCTCTCTAATGAAAGCTAAAGCCACGGTCACTACGGTGTAAGGATGTCGGAGGGGGATGAAATGAGCATACATGCTCAATCTACCCAGCACCATCAAAATCATCATGAAGCCTTCTGAACATGGTAGCCCATCTATGAAGTCCATGAATATCTCTTCCCATACTCGTCCTGGTAATGCCAACGACTGTAATAGTCCCCTTGGCGACATAGCTAAGTATTTGTTCCTCAGAACGTGGCAGCCGATCCTGCATGAGTGCTGCCCCCAATCCGTATTCTGAATCATCCGTCTCCACTATGAAGGACTGAGTGAAGTCTGGTAAAGCTAATACTGATACAATGATCATAACCTTCTTTAGTTTCTCAAATGCTATTGTGGCTGCCTCTCCTCATAAGAATCCATCTTTCTTTTGCTGCTCTATTAGTGTCCATGCGATACTATTGTACCCTTTTACAAATCTCCTATAGTAACCCGTCAGCTCTAAGAATCCTCTCAACTGCATTAGATTCTTAGGTAAGGGTCATCTCAACATAGCCTCCACCTTTGCATGATCGGCTGCCACCCCTTCCTTTTACATGATATGACCCAAGCACTCTACACTGGACTAGCCAAAGCAGCTCTTCTTCAAGTTGGCCCTCACATCAGCTGATGTTCCTGTAGAACTCACAAGGCCAACTTCAAGTGCTTCAGATGCTCCTCCTCAGTTTTGTTGTACACCAAGATGTCATAAAAAAATACCAGAACAAACTTCCAGAGGTGCTATCTGAATACCCTGTTCATCAGTAACTGGAAAGTAATAGGGGCGTTGGTAAGCCCAAATGACATAACCAGAAACTCATAATGCCCCTCGTGTGTCCTGAACATTGTCTTTGAGATATCTTCCTCTCTCATTCTGATCTTCCCGACTTCAAATCCATTTTGAAGAATATCACTACTCCATACAGCTCATCAAAGAGCTCGTAAATCATAGGAATGAGGAATTTATTCGGTAGTCTCCTTATTCAACTCCCTATAATCCACACAAAACCTCTAGCTCTCATCCTTCTTTTTGACTATTAATACTGAACTAGAGCAAGGACTCACACTTGGTCGAATGATCTCAGTCTCTAACATCTCCATAATCAGTTTCTCAATTTCATCCTTTATAATTTGGGGGTAGCGGTAGAGTCGTACACTAATCGGTGACACTCCCTCCTTTAGAAGGATTGCATGCTCATGTTTTCTAAGTTTTGGTAACCCTTGAGGTTGCTTGAACACCTCGCTGAACTACTATATGACTGGTTGCACTACAAGAGGAATGTCTCCCTCTTCCCCCATACTGACCCACTCCAAGCATTGCAATTCCACCAAATATCAAACTCCCACCTCCTGTATGGTTCTAATCATGGATTTGAGTCCCGCCCTAGACAGCCCGACATTGCCCTGGATCACCACTCTCTTTCCCCCCACCACTAGTTCCATCCTTAGTGCTCCCTAATTTACCTTGGTCACCACCAAGGTTTGCAGCCATTTCATCTCCAGGATGACATCCGTACTCCTTAATTCTAAGGGAAGAAAATCCTCCCTCACTTATATCCCCTGAATGGTCAACACCACTCCCCTACAAACTCCTTTGCCCATTTCTACCTTTCCTGATCATCACCCCATAGCCTCATGTATCTACTAGTTTCACCCCCAGTAGATCAACAATTTGGGTGGAGATGAAATTGTGGTTTGCCCCACTATCTATCAACACTACCACCTCCCTATCTGTTATCTCTCCCTTCACCTCATAGTGTGAATCGGGGTGAATCCCACTATTGAGTTTAGGGAGACTTCTGCCACATCCAGATGCAACTTCTCATCTTCCTACATCTCTAACCTGCTTCCACCCTCTTCAGCTTTCTCGTTATCATAAACGGTGAGAACTTGAAGAGTTCGGTCCTTACACCTATGCCCCGGCATGTACTTCTCTTCACATCTAAAACATAACCCCTTCGCTCTTTTTTCTAGCATTTCCTTCTCCATCAATCTTTTGCTTCCCCCATTTCTCCCTCCAGTTCTCTCTCTTGGCACTTCCTTCAGACTCCCTGGTGTTGCCACCTTGGGAGCCAAGACTGTGGTAGTCATCCCCCCCGCCCCCCCCCCCCCGCCCCCCCCGAGTTGCTCCCTATCCCCTCTCTCCAACTACTTCTTATCCTCCACCAACTTGGCTAGCTCCATGACATCCCCCAGGCTTCTTGGCATCATCACTCTAACTGCTGCCTGATCTCTTGTTTAAGCCCTTTCATTAAGTTCCCCTCCAGCACCGTCTCTGAGAGCCGATCCAATATGCTGGACAAGTACTTGAACCTATCACGGTAATCTGCCACGGTCCCCTCCAGTGTTAAGACAAAGAATTGCTCATAGAAATCTCCTATCCTACAGGTTCGAAAACGTTCCAATAAGCAATCCTTGAACTCCCTCCAGCTTCTGATAGGTTGCCTCATGTCCCGCCATTGGTACCAAGCCAGTGCCTTCCCCTCCAAGCATAGTTCTGCTGCTGTTAGCTTCTATTCCTCCATCAGCCCGTTGATAGAGAAATATTGTTCTACCTTGTAGATCCAACCATGGCCATCCTTGCCCTCGAGTTCTGTGCCTCTTCGCAGTTCCGGGAGCTCGTTGAGCTCCTTTTCCTCTTCCTCTGGTTCTCCGACGAGACGTTCCTCTTCTTCGGAAGGGTCAGTTTTTGGTTCCCGGAGTCTCGACTTGGGCGGTGAGCCTCTCCGCCCTGGTTCTCATCCTTCCCCCTTTGCGAGTGCTACCCTATTTCTGGCTAGCTCTCTCCACTTTGCTCCCCCCAACCTGTCCTCCCCTCCTGCTAAAGAGGGCGTGTCGTGCCTCTGCAGTCTTACCCCTAGGCCCTTCCTGTGCCTGTTGGTCGGTCTCCCCCCTAGATGCTGTTGTGCCCCCCTCGCCTCCCTCTCCTACGGCGC